AGGACCCTAGTTTATTTACCAACTGGGATGTCATAGTGGAGTGTGTCAAAGTCGAGAGGGATCAGTTGAGACAGCAAGGGATAGAAACGAGTTGGAGCTTACAGCCTAGGATTTATGAGAGGATTTCTACCCCGCCATTACCTAAAGGATTATGTAATGGTAGGATCTGGCAGCCAATCATCAATGCAGCGCTGAGAAGGCAAACCTGGTAAGTAGTCAATGTCAGCAGTAACGAAAGTGATAGAGGCGCTGACTAGGATCACGGTTGGGGGTGCCTTCCCGTACGTCATTGAGAGGTGTGTGAAGAAACAAACAAAAAAAGAAAAGAAAAAGAAAGAAAGGCACCGTAGCCTCGCCTAATCTGCGGAATGAATGAATAGCAGGTTACGCTATATTCAATAAATGAATTTAATTTCTTATTAATTTCATTACCTATATCACTCTTCACTCGACTCGAGCCTTTTCTTTAGTGTCCAATTCTATATGGATTAATATCATACATAATGAAATTAGCAACGAAGAGTAGACATAGAGAATTACCATCAGATAATAATAGAATAGATCCATCCTAGACTTTCGCCCCTACAAATACATTACATGTAATTCATGAATGTATGAAGGCCACGAAGTGGGAGAGGCAGGATTCGAACCTACGTAGAAATATAACCTTCAACAGATTTACAGTCTGTCGCTTTTAACCACTCGGCCACTCTCCCGAAGAATTCAGCATCCTACAGGATTTGAACCTGTGACCTTCAACTTAGAAGGTTGTTGCTCTATCCAGCTGAGCTAAGAATGCAACTCACCCAAAAGAGTCAACGCAGCCGCCACAACAAAACAAACAGCTTATTTTATTTGATCTTGTATGTCCTTGTAACTCGGTTTCTTGATACGGATGACTATGATGTGAGGCCACATGTATCTGCTGAGACAAGAAGAGGGATCGATTATGAGGCATGTTGGATAACTGCTGTTGAGTATGTCCTGGATGAAAGACTGTTGCTGAGACAACGAGGGAAGAAAGTGACTTGGAGTGTCCTGCCTAGAGAGTTTGAGAGATTCCCAACTCCGCATGTGTTTGCTAGCTTCTGCGACGGGAAAGACTGGGGACCAATCCTCAACGCGGTACTTAGGGGCCGAGTGTGGTGAGCCATGCCAAGAGATGTCTACATTCCTGATGACGGAGAGAGTTTCTGCTTCGAGGTCTATCTAGATGAGCAACGAGCGACTGTCATCGGGGTCGTGAGAGGACGCGACACTAGGCTAGGTAGGCGCGATGAAATTCGCATGGTAGAGCACTACCTTGAGCTTATGCGGGCGGCTGCTTTTAGAGCAATTACGGATCAGACTAAGATTAGGCATTTGCTGGATTGCAAAAGTTCGGATGGCAGGAGAGTGATGCTACATGCGAGAGATGATACCATTCTATCTAAACAGCATTCTGCGGACAGTCGGGCTAGAGGCGCTAGAAGCAGCCCAAGACAATGATATTGGAATGTGAAAACTCTACGTCAATTGCGACTGTGACCATTGGTAGAGGATGGTTAGATAAAGTAACTGAGACTGATAGTCCGTTCGAGATATTGAGACACGGTGTCTGTAAGGAAGGGCGTTTAGTATTGTATGTTCCAGTGGTCAGATTTCTCAAGACCGACAAGCTTGACGTGAGGGTTTATGCTCAGGAAGGAATAAAAGAGGAAGAAGACTATTTAGAGTGTCTGAGGAGAGTGTACATTCATCTCTCGAGGGTAAGGGAGCTACTTCGAAGCTTGGATGAGAAAGTGACTTGGGGAAATCGAGTCAGGGAATTCGAAAGACTCCCAAGCTTTCCAACTACGGGTAGCTTCACTGACAGGATTTATTGGGTGCCTCTTCTAGAAGCAATTGCCGTGGTTGGTAAAGCAAGAGAGAATGACTTAGTCATGCGACCGAAAACTCTGTTTTCCGATACCTTTGTACGTCGGTTCGAAGTTCAAGACGAAACTTCTCTTGAATTTTCCCTCACCTGACAATGGAAAGGAGTCTGTTATGACTAAGGAGAATGCTGGTTTTATAGCAAGCAGACATATTTGGGAGAAGGCTGAAGGAAGGGTATTACCAGATATTAATTTTTCGGTTATCTCGCGCCTACTCCGGGATTTGAAACCCTTCACGGTAAGAGGGGCGTTTCCTTATAAGATTGAGAGATACACTGTCTTAGTCATACCTGAGGCAGAAGAAAAAGTGTATGTGTTAGTAACTCGCTTCCTATAAACCAACGAATATAACGTGCGTATATACACTCCAGTGACTAGGAAAATTTGACGGTGGTATACTGGGTGTCACGAGTGGGCACTTAGTCACATCTGTAAATACAGAAACGAACTCAAGAAGGAAGGTAAGAAAGTTACCTGGAGTGTGGAGCCTACTGAGTATGAAGGTTTCCCAAGTCCTCCTATTCCAAATAGTTTTGTTAATGGTGAGAACTGGTAGCCGATCCTTAATACTGTTTTAAGAGATAGACAGTGGAGCAGTGCCTCTATTGAGGATTCTAGTTAAAAGACTTAGTAGGCACTGAAAAAGATTAGACGTATCGAAGAGAGAAAGAAGAATCATGGGGGTCGCTAGGGACTAGGCAATGTCTGGTTACTGTCCGACAGTCACGGTAGCACTGGGCGCCCTAGTTCCTTTTACCAGTAGAGGAGTTTTTTCCCTACAAGATAGAGCGCTGCATATCCCTGGAGGAGAATTATGTCCATGGGAAGGCGTATATCCTTGTAGTGAAGTTCCTCGACACTGGTGAGTATGATATCTGGCCCTATGTTTCCTCATTAAGAGAGAGAGGGACAGATCACGAGTCTTTTCGAAGCTGGATTAGTAATACAGTTGATCAAGAAAAGAGAGAATTATAAAGAAAAGGGGTAAGAGTAGGTAGTAACATAACTCCGATTGTGTTTGATAGGTTTTCCGAGCCCCGTCTGCCATAAAGTTTTATTGACGGCAGAAAACTAGGAACCAATTTTAAACGCGATCCTAAGTTTTCCGAGCCCCGTCCCCTTCCGAGTGAAAGTATTTCCGACACTTCTTGCACCACGGGGATTCGGCACCTGCGATGTTCACGTCCACCCATCCATCTTCATTCAGATCAATAATTAGGTGTTGTTTGTACCAGATTTTTGCCGCAGGCTCCATGTCAAACCTGATATTCCAAAGATCTGGTGATGTCGGCTCCGCAAACGCCTCGTGACACTTTATTATTCTCCCAAATGCTTTCTGAACTGCTCCCTTGATGTGGGGGAGAATAGATACAGGTACCTGGAGTGCCTTTACCCAGAAGTATCTTTGCTTCTGGGCTTCGTTCCACTCATAGAGCTCGTTTTCATTCATCCAATTTCTGAAGTGAACAGTGTACTTCCACCCATCTAGCTCTATGAGGTCCGAGCCCTTGCGGATCATCCATGTGGCGATGGATTCTTGCAACATATGTGACCAAATTTCTTCCATCACATCGAAAAACACCCCTTTTAGGAGCGCCATCAAAGATTTGTTGCCCTACCCAACCCTCCTCATAAATGCGAACTAATCGATTTTTCACTGATGGGGGTAAGGTAGAGGCGTCATTTTCGAAATGGACAGAGACTGCATTTTCTGATAGCCATTCAGCCTGTACTTCGTAGAGTCTGCTATTAACAGAGACCCTTACGTAGTCCTGTCCTGTCTCCTCTATGGTAGGTACGAATTCGTCAGGAAGAATCCCATTGGAATAGCAATCTTTTATCACAGCTCTTATTCTTTTTTTTTTACGTCTCTGACATGGGGCCCGCCTCTCGGGGTTGGTGATCCGCCATACTGGCTTACGTGGAAAGAGCACATATGCATGCACCTGGCCCTTCCTTTGGCCGTGATGAGCGGCTCTACTCCTACTCGGCTAATCAGGCTATTGCCGTGAGCACCCTTACCCCGCTGCTTCTCAAACAAGAAGATCATCCATCCGACAAGTGCACACACGTTGAAAGCTAGTATCATCCATGCATGGAACGGACGATCTTCCACTATCCCTGTTTTCCAGTGTATATCAACCTTCTAATTCCCCGCAGTTTCCTTCTACCGAAGCCGCCAGATATATAGCCTGAGATCGGTAGGCCACCTCGTGTGAAGAATAGAGTCTTGACTCCGCTGCTTGAACCTGGTGCCTCGATATGTGTGCCCTGTCGAGGCGATGGTGCATTCACCTTTTCTCGAATAAGCATAAGCGGACAGGTCTTCGTGCAAATGCCTAGGGAAAAGGGGAGAGTAGGGACCGGGGGAAGATATCCCGTAAACCAAGCACAAGCAAAAGCCCCTTAGGAATACTCGAGATTTTCCAAGCCGTGACGGCTTCTTTTCCTCGATACTACTGCGCCCTTTCCCTTGGTTTTGCCTTCCACCTATCCTCGGATAAACAGCGAGAAAGATGTATGAGACTGATTGAAATACCTCACAGAAATCTTGTGATATTGCTCCCCGCTTTCCACCTTCGTTCTGTACGATATCCGTCTCCTGTATGAAGCAGAGCTCACCCTCCTTCCCTTTCCCCTCCCAGTAACTCCGTGTACGGGCCTGGCCAGAGCCTATGGCCTGCTCGTGACCTCGATCTCTATAGTCTCCCTCGCCCTTGTTATGGTAAGTAAGGGAGAGAGAAACCCTAGTTTACCATAGCCGCCCGCGCTTCTCCTTGAAAAGTGACCGTTCTGGTGTTGAAAACTCGGATTGCCGCTCCGCTGCGGAATAGTGCGCGAAATAGCGCAAGCATTAGCGCTACCGGCCCTTCTCCGCCGCCCTCCCCTCCTTCCCCAGTTCCCTCCCCTCCCCCAGTTTTCGCAAAAACGGGCTGTAGATGTCTTTTCGCCCCCTCGTATTTGCCCGCGTGTGCTGAGTCTTAGGGCCCACTGTGGACGCTGGAGTCCGTTTTTCCTTCACCTGGCCCTCTCGTACTCCGACTCGTGGTCCCGCTTGTAGTCTCGCTCGTAGTCCGACTCGTGGTCCCGCTCGTGGTCCCGCTTGTGGTCCCGCTGGTGTTCCCGCTGGTGTTCCCGCTGGTGGTCCCGCTCGTGGTCCCGCTCGTGGTCCCGCTCGTGCTGTGTTCCAGATGGTGATGGTCTGACCAGCAGTGGCCCTCCAACGGGCCGTACGAGGCAGCGGTTGCGGCGGCGGCAGACAGTCGCTCGGCAATGCAATCACCGATCAGCGATCTGCTAACTTGGCAAAATTGGTTTGACGGAAGGCTTCTGTGGCGATCCCGACCTGGATCCAGATCTATGTAAGCAGCGGGTTCGGTCTTAGGATTGGGGCCGTTATCGAGACTTGAATCGGGATCTTGTGTGTGATTTGGATCGAGAGCCATCGGGGCGGTTGGGGCAATGGGACAAGGCAATGACGAAGGTGGAACGCCGGGATCGAGGGAATATGCAGCCGCGACGGCGGCGCCAGGATCGGGATCGGGTTCGGAAGACCAATCATGGGAGCAGATGGCCCTCTTTTTGGATGCGATGCCGGAAAATCCGGAGGAGAACGCTGACTTGGCAGCACTGCAAGCCCTGCAGTATGACGACTACACTCCCGAGGAGGTTGCGGAGAGTTTGAAGGTATGTTTTCAGGGGGGAGGGGGGTTGGGGTTGGGGTTGGGGAAGAGAAGAAACTGATGCCTTTTGCACCTCTTTGATCACCTTTTTATACTCTGTTGTTTTGGATACAATTTGGGGGGGGGAAGAGAAGAAACTGATCGGTTTTTCAGCCACTCAGCCAATCAATCAAGCCAACCCGCCGAGACCAATCGCCCCCTTCCTCCCCCCTCCCCTTTTGTCTCCTCCGTTTCCGGAGACGAAATCAATCAATCGAAGTCTGGAACAATTCACCGACCGAAGGAAACGTTAATTAATCAAGGAGCGATGATCAGTCCAACATCTGGCAACGTGAAGGTGCCACGTCAGACTAGTCATCTCATCCCCCAGTTTTTTCCTTTTTTTTTTTTTTTTTTTTTTTTTGGAAGTTTTCATCTGCTCATCGTATCCCCTCCTCAATGACGACGACATCTTTGATGATGACGACGGTAATGATGACATGATGATGTTCACGTTGATGTTGAAAATGATATTTATGGTCGTGATGATGATGATCGATGATGATCGATGATGATGGTGCTGATATGATGCTGATGATGATGATGGTGCTGCTGCTGCTGATGATGATTATGATGATGCTGATGCTGACGATGATGACGATGCAAGGAATAGATGTCTGGCCGGGATCCCGCGCAAACATTGTACTTCAATTTTGTTTTTGAACTGCAATTACTAAAATAGAATGGCATTTTTTTTTTTTTTAATCGATGTACTATGTGTTAATTTATATGCAGTGCACCTTGGGTTTTCTCTCCGGTTATGTGCTTTGCACCTTTTTTCCGCCCCCGTCTGTTAAGGTCGCTTTATGGACAGTTGGGCGCCAACACAACATGCACCTGGTGGCTGCCGTCGTGCAGCCATCAAGCTGGCCATTATTCGCTTAAGCACTGAAAAAAAAATGCTGAAAACAATGTGAAACCACGTGTGGAAAAACTCGGAAAAAAACTAGGAAAACGTTATGAACAAAAAAGTCTTTAAAAAAAAAATGCCGAAACAAAACTTCAAAAACTGCTTTAAAATGTTGTCGAAAAGGTGCTGAAAACGTTGTGAAAATTTTGCGAAAATTTTGTGGAAAAAAACTTGCGAGGAGTTTGTCAAGTATTTGCGAAAACGCGCGAAAATTTGTGAAAATTTGTGAAAATTTATGAAAATTTGTGAAAATTTGTGAAAATTTGTGAAAATTTGTGAAAATTTAAATGGCACAGCTTCCTGTCACATGTCTGTTCAGACAAACAACTACAATTTTTAGGGAACCTGGACCCGTTTTCGAGCAGGTGCTGCTCCCCACCAATAGCAATAGAATGGAGCGTCCCCGAGAATGCTATTACCGGTAGTAGTGGTGCCTGCTCTTATCAGCGCACCCCTAGCATCAGCTCGGGTTGTTGTATTAAAAAAAAAAATAATAAAAATAAAAAAAGGGATGAGTGCTAGAGCTATGGCGACGACAACGATCTAAGATCTGATGATGATATCGGTGATGATGATCTGCCGTACATTGACGCTGGAAAGAGCGGCGGGAAGGAGATGGAGGAGGAGACTCAAAGATGATGATGATGATGATGATGACGATGATGATGATGAAAATGATGATGATGATGACGACGACGACGGCGGTGGTGTCGTGGTTCTTTGGCGCGATGAACAAATCTCCCCGAGAGCTGACAAGCCTCCGGTTTTTGTCCAACAAGCCTTTTTTTTTTATCCCTCCCTCCCACGATCTGACGCCGACAGTGCTTTTGTGACTCTCTACTTCCCCTCCCGCCATGGATCCATCCCCGCCCGCCCGCCCGCCCGCCCGCCCTGACACCGTGTTTAAAACTGGATCCAGAACCACTACAGCCATGACACCGTATTGCGGCCCAGCATGAATTGAACCGGCGACCTTGGCAACAAACGCGAGGTTATGCACGCGAAGTCCCATAACCAGTACAGCCAGGACACCGGTTCAATTGGTCACAAGGGGATCCATGCTGGGCTGGGGAGAGTACCAGGTGTGGTTGGTGTTCCCCCGTGTAGCGAGAGGATGAGATATATGCTGAATAATATAGATAGATAGATAAATAGATAGATAGATAGATAGATAGATAGACTGAGAGAAGGAAAAAAAAAGAAGGGGGATCCACGCTAGTAAAAAGACAAGATGTTGTTCAACAAAATGGGCCTCGCTCGCCAAATGGGCGAAATGAAAATGAATCTATCGCAAGAACATGGAAAGATACGCCGCCATAGTTTTTGTTCTATTGTGCATGTGGAGAGTAGTGGAGCGAGGGCTAATAGGATAAATTTTATAGTATTATTATTATATTATTATTGAATCTTTTTTCAATTTTTGTATATGATAGATTCTCAAATCCTTGGCGAACACTTGCTCAGAAGGAAACAGCGTACAACAGGACCGAGGTCCCACTTACATAGGCTCGGCGTTTCTGGCCTTTGATCTTTGATCTAGTGGCAATCTACATAGTCTCTCTCTCTCTCTCTCTCTCTCTCTCTCTCTCTCTCTCTCTATCTATCTATCTATCTATCTTCTTCTGCAATTTTGAAAATCCTTGGCGAACACTTGCTCAGAAGGAAACAGTGTACAACAGGACCGAGGRCCCACTTACATAGGCTCGGCGTTTCTGGCCTTCGATCTTTGATCTAGTGGCAATCTACATAGTCTCTCTCTCTCTCTCCATATATATATATATATATCTATCTATCTTCTTTCTGCAATTTTGAAAATCCTTGGCGAACACTTGCTCAGAAGGGAACAGTGTACAACAGGACCGAGGTCCCACTTACATAGGCTCGGCGTTTCTGGCCTT